TACTAAGGTGGTGTTTATATATATATATATGATGATCCAATTAATAATCCTAAAGCCCAAAAGGATAAATGTAATATGGGCCTACAAGACCTCGTAATCCAATTATTTAGTGGCTTGGTTCCGCTTGGGTGACTGTTGGGTATTAGTAATTAGAAGTTAAAAGGTCTCATTGTTTCAAAATTCCTAAAGCCAAACCGTCAAACAGAAGGTTTCGTGAAATCTCTGTTTTGTGTTAGAGAGCAATGGCGGCAAGAAGACAAACATCGATTAAGGAGATGAAGACTTTAGGGTGGTTCGTGACGTTTCATCGGAAAAAAAAGGTAATTTTAAGATTCTGTTTACGTTTTTAAAGTTATTTGGTTGACAATTTTTAGTTTTCTTCGTTAGCCTTTTGGAAAAGTAGAGGAAGACTTCTGGAACGATTTTAAGGATGAATTGGGTGGTATCTGGACACTAATTGATGAAAAGGAAAACAAGCACGAACTGAAATGTGAAGTCATCCGGGAAGAAGCCCTACTGACAGATGGTTGGGGTTTCTTGCGAAATTTTTATGGGATGACCGGAGATCATTCCATCATGTTTCGCTACGTAGGGTTGAGGTTGTTTGACATTACTGTATGGAGAAAGCCATCGAACCTAAAATCCATAGATGAAGCTGCAAACCCTTCGCGTTCATCTCGTAAACCTAAACCGGTAACTCCATCTGAAAGTCGGCCACCAACCTATACGAAAAAAGTGTTCAAAGTAGTGCTGACTGAGAACAAAGCAACTAAGTGAACAGTTAGTGGTAAGTTCCATTTTGTGCGATTAAGTTGTAATAACTTTTGAGTTGTGCTCGAATTCTCTTTAATTGACTGGTCATGTAGTGTTGGTTTCACGATTAAGCGTATGCGTGAATATTGTTTGGTTTATTTGGTGAGTTGTTAGGATTCATATTGTTATGTGATTTTGTTAGGGTTATTATTTTTTTGCAGATTTAGTAAGTATTAATAAGTCATGTAGGTGTTGTTGTATTTCGTTGTGAAGGCATTATTATGGATTGTTGATCGAGGTGGTAAAAAATTAGATTGTAATTTATTTTTCCAATTTGATAGTGTTGTGATTGTGTCGTTGTAATTATTGTTTTATTAATGTGGTTTGACAATATTTGTGGTAAGCATTATTGGTTATGATAATGTTTGTCCATGGTATTTATATTTGTTAGATATCAGAAATGGAGAATTCCGCATCTTCACATACAAGCAGGACTACGTTATCCACATTACCAAGGGAAATGCCTTTATGTTATTGTGGTATTCAAAGTAGGATACAATACTCAAAAACTCGTAAGAATCCAGGGAGAAAATTTTATGGTTGTGGAAGATATAACGGGACAAATAGTCATTGTCGGTTTTTTGAATGGTGCAACGAAATGGATCAAGTGGAAGAATTACAAACAATAGTGTCTGGGCATATTTGTGATATATCTGAGTTATAGGTTAAATTTGACAAGTTGAGAGAGGAGTTAAATGTTACAAATAAGAAGGTAGAAGTTGTGGAAGAAATGGTGATGGATGTTTTGAAGATGGTGAAAACAAATGAGATTAAAATGAGGAACAAATTTATTGTGGTTTGGATCATAGTGTTTGTCTTGGCTGGAATTATAATGATATGAAGAACAATTGTTAAATATTGTGATTAGTTTAATTTACTATTAAATATAATGTACGTTTATGTTATTTTGAAGTTTGATTTAGTATTAAATGAAATGTACGTTTATGTTATTTTGAAATCGAAGTGCATGAAAAATTAGTTTGGAAATACGTAGGAAAAAATGATGGTTTGTTGGAAGGTTATTAGGTTCATATGAGAATGTGAATAATGCAAGAGTGACATTTAGAATGAAATGAGGAATATTTAATTTTTGATTGTTAGTTTCACATTTTTTTAAAAGTGAATTGGGTTATTTCAATTAATTTAATTTAGTAATGTAACATGAATGCAATTTTTGAATTGAAGAAGCTTACGATAATACATAATTCATCTTCTAACCATTTATGACTAGTTAAAATTGGTTTGTGATGAAATTAACGACAGTAGGATCAAAGTAATTAGCTTAGGTTCAAGAATTTTAAGAAAGTAGTAAAATGTAAAATAGTAAATGTACATATAGTTTAGGAATTTTTTTTTATATCGAAGTCAAGTAGTTCTAGCATGAAGTAATTTAGTATTTATTATTTATAATATAGGTATGTTAAAAAAAGTAAAAATATATTTAAGTTTTTTAATCTAAGGAAATTGCAATCTAAACGTCGCCCATTTATTAATTTTACATGGGCCAAATTTTAAGTAACCGAATTCGAGTACAAAAATTACTAAGGTGGTGTTTATATATATATATGATGATCCAATTACTAATCCTAAAGCCCAAAAGGATAAATGTAATATTGGCCTACAAGACCTGGTAATCCAATTATTTAGTGGCTTGGTTCCGCTTGGGTGACTGTTGGGTATTAGTAATTAGAAGTTAAAAGGTCTCATTGTTTCAAAATTCCTAAAGCCAAACCGTCAAACAGAAGGTTTCGTGAAATCTCTGTTTTGTGTTGGAGAGCAATGGCGGCAAGAAGACAAACATCGATTAAGGAGATGAAGACTTTAGGGTGGTTCGTGACGTTTCATCGGAAAAAAAAGGTAATTTTAAGATTCTGTTTACGTTTTTAAAGTTATTTGGTTGACAATTTTTAGTTTTCTTCGTTAGCCTTTTGGAAAAGTAGAGGAAGACTTCTGGAACGATTTTAAGGATGAATTGGGTGGTATCTGGACACTAATTGATGAAAAGGAAAACAAGCACGAACTGAAATGTGAAGTCATCCGGGAAGAAGCCCTACTGACAGATGGTTGGGGTTTCTTGCGAAATTTTTATGGGATGACCGGAGATCATTCCATCATGTTTCGCTACGTAGGGTTGAGGTTGTTTGACATTACTGTATGGAGAAAGCCATCGAACCTAAAATCCATAGATGAAGCTGCAAACCCTTCGCGTTCATCTCGTAATCCTAAACCGGTAACTCCATCTGAAAGTCGGTCACCAACCTATACGAAAAAAGTGTTCAAAGTAGTGCTGACTGAGAACAAAGCAACTGGAAGACAATTGGTCAGTATATTTTAATTTTTGTCTTTTTAAAAATATAACCTTTTTTTATGAATAGGGAAAGTACAAAATTATTGTTTTTTTTTTCTGACAGAGCTTGCCGGTTGATTTTGGAGATCATTTGCGTAAGAGAAGATGGAAAACATTGAATATTTGTGGTCCTGTGGAGATGGTGAAATGTTCTGTCATCATTCCTTCTGAGGGAAGGAAATTTGTAAAACTTGAGAAAGATTGGAAGTTTTTTTGTTACAAAAATAAGTTTGTTGCAGAAGATGAACTTCAATTTTCATTTCCTCATGATACACGCAATATGGCCCATGTTATGAAGATTCAGAATTGATTATGGTAAT